CTTCCCAAAGCACTGCATTCTGGGTATTCTTTTTACACTATCTACCTTAAAGTCCTTATCTTACATTAAAAACTGTTTTTGGCAGTTGATTTCTGGGCGGTGTATGCACCAGATAGTCAATGTATGTTTCTTTATTTCATACTGAATAATATGTAAAAAAAGGAAAAATATTAGGTCCAATAAAAAAACTTTGCTTCTGGAAGCAGGCAATTTCGTGACGTCACGTGTGGTTCCCGGCTGCCGCTGTCTGGCTCCCTGCTGCCGTCCGGATCGACAGCCAATGCGCGCAGCCAGCGAGAGTTCACAACGAAAAATGGCGTCAAATATTGTTGATGTTTACGCATCAGAAAAAGCTAATAGCGCGGGTATTTGGCACAATTTGACAGAACAATTATTTGGTGTGGACGATGCGAGCAGTGATGATGAATCTGAACGATCTCTGCCGCCTTTTACACCAGAAATAAGAGGCCTAGAACCGTATAGGTTCGAGCCAGCAAAACGCGAATGTGCACCACCGGCCTTCTCTTTCGGGAACAAATGAACGGTAAAACCATCCCGATTGGTGTTGCTACACCCGCCAACGACACACCTCTTCACCATGATCCGGAAAAAACAAGACAAACTCGGAGATAAACACTGATACACAAAGTTGACATGCGGCTATACCAGCAATGCTACACTGTGTGATGCTGGGACGGGCTGAACTCACCAGGATTCGCGGAACCACACGTGACGTCACGACACAGCACCAAGCAGCGGCAAGTTTGAATCCAGACTTTTCTGGATACCTCTGAATTTGACCCATTTTCCCGATATTAACAAGTGATTTACAGCAAATAGGAAACGATATTCGATCTATATCACGTGTTACTGGAATAAGACCCAACAAGTTAATGCATTTTGAAACAGTTCTATGATCTTTCAGCTAAAGTAAATTATGCAAGATAAGGACTTTAATGTTTATCTTAAGTCAAATATGTCAATTTTATTCTATTTAAAACCTTTTTTTATTACAATTCTATGCTAGCTATGCAAAAACCATGCGAAAAGCAATGCCCAGTAGGCTATCCCATTTAAAGTTACTTAATGTTCTGAAGCTTGATGGAGTTGGTGACTTCCAGTCTTTTTCTGAAGTACTTGTATTTGTATAAATTGATTAATCAAATATAATTGTGAATTTTTGCCCAAATAATAATATACCTTCATCTATAAAAACTTCTAATCAATAATACAGATCCTGTTGTAGTCAATCATTTCTTCTGGTGGGTCTATATTGTTATAGTATCTAACCTCCAGAACATGTTGTCATGTTGCAGGTGATCCCTCCTGTCGCCAAGCTCGCCCGTCTGTCCTGTGTCTTCCTTTGTTCCAGTGACCTGTTCCTGGAGAGACCTGTGCAGAAACTGACCTGGGGTCTGTTCAGGCTCCTGACCAGGTCTGAACATGTTTGATATCCTTTTTTCTTTCCTTGCAAAACCTACATTTAGCACAGAGAACAGAGCTAAAACCAAATCTCTTCCATTATCAGGCGATCCAGGCTGGACTCTTTGGACCTGGACGTCCCTCCTCCGGGTCTCGCCTCCTTCCAGGACCTGTACACGGCTCTTCTGACCCAGTACGAGGCCGTGTCCTTTGGAGACCGGCTCTTTGGCAGCTGGTTGTTGTTACCCCTGCAGAGGAGGTACAGCGCCACCATGAGGCTGGCTGTGTTCGGGGAACATGTGGGAATGCTGAGGTCACTTGGAGTCACTCTGGAACAGGTAATGATGAGGAGGGCTTTCACAATATCAACACAAACGTTCTATGATTATTTAACTTTTGATTTGGAACAATTACTTATCTCTCTGTGTCTTGATTCGTAGCTCTCCATCCCTATCGAGCGGTTCACCTCTCCCCCTGAAGACTCCCTCCCTCTCCTCAATCTCTACTTCCGCTCTCTGGTCACGGGGACCCTGAAGCCCCGCTGGTGTCCACTCTTATACGTGGTTACCTTGTCTCACGTCAACTCCTTCATCTTCTCTCAGGACGCTGCAGCACAGGTAGAGCAGTGTAGAGCAAACAGGCCAAACCAGATGAAGTCTGCATGTCTATCAACTGAATAACGGAAAAAATGACTTGCTCAGTTTACTTGAGACTTGTTAGAAAAACCCTTACATTTTAGAAAAGATCCAAAAAAAGCAGCAGATACAACGGTTATGTTTCACGTTAGTCAAACATTGAATGATGGCATTTGTGCTGCATTTATGAATGTCATAAACTCCCCACTGGAACATTTTACAACTCGGAAACAATAATTACCACGTTGTTTAAATCTCAGAGCAATGCATATACATTTTTTTTTTGTATCGTCCATGTTGTCTCCTCACTACGACATGAAGCTCAAAGCTGATTAGAAACGGGCTATTTGAGGAGCCTGTGAAATAGGGCTGAACGATATTGAAAAAAAATTACATTGCGATATTTTTTCCCCCTTTTTTTAACCATATTTAACCGGATGAAGGATTTTAGTCACGGACGTCTGGATCTTAACTGGTAGACTCATCATACCTTAAGTCATGATCGCTTACCCTCAAATAAGGGGGTTCACCTGTGAATGAAGGAGAGAAGAACCATTTTGTATCCAAAATAGTTCCAGATGGCAGATGTTGATTTTCTTTTTGGAAGTAGATCTTCCTTCTCGCTGGTATTGTCCTCCTGTGCCTCGTTCATTTTTTACCGGTGTTTTGATGGTCTGCAAACTAGTGGGGCGGGGCCTGCTGTGATCTGATCAAGAATGATTGTGATTGGTGGTTTGCTGTGCATGCAGAGCCTGCATGTCACTCACTCAAGTACCCCTGACATTAGAGCCGCGCAAGTTTTCCTTTTGTAGCAAGCAGCAAAAATAATTGTAACATGACGTGTTTGAGTTAATGTATATCGCACGTCCTAAAAATGAAAAAAAAAAAAAAATTATTATTAAAAAATAATAAAATCGCACGTCCCTGCGATGTGAATATCGCATATCGCGGTTATCACAGCCCTACTGTGAGTGCACCATTGGCCTTGGATATTTGGTTTATGTTTTGTGGCTTTTATAAATCAACCACAGTGAAACCTGGGGCAAACTGCCACACATATTTTTTTTAGCAAATCCAGGACATGCAGCATCTGCACTGAATAGGAAGTTTGATTATTGGGAAGTGGCAAACGGTTTTATGGGGATTTCTGCACATTTTATGCTCAAGAGAAAATAAGCTAGCTGATTTTACGTGTCATGTGTTTTTGATAAACACATGACTCACTTCGTTTGGCACCTCAATATGGATATAAGGCATGGTATGTGAGTTTTCTTTTTGAACACCCTAGAATAAGAAACACATTCAGTGAGTCCAACTGTGTTTAAAAAAAGCCAGTGTTTTTGAGCAGTTTAGCTGAAGGCGCAAATGCATGCAGGTGTGGAGTTTATAAAGTAAACACAGAGACATGCGTCAGGGCAGAACATCAATGAAGCCTTTCATCTGTTAATCCCTTCGTCTCTTTTACAGGCGGTTGAAGCCGCACGACAAAGCATGCTGAGGAAGATCTACTACCTGACAGATGAGGTACATTTTCTGCTTTTTCTGTTGTTGCAATCCACAGATGTTTCTATCTGGCTGTCTCTGATGTCAAAAAGGCTGCGGGGTGTTTATTGAGTGTACCGACTCTTCTTTTCATCTCTGATGATGTTTTCTCTACAATCCTCTTGTTTTTCCTCGTTCCCAAAACCAATTCAAGTCACTTTTAATGATCAGCATTCCACTTTAAGTCCTGCAGTGATAGCATGTCGAAACAGTGTGTGATTTTTACACCAGTTGTTTCCAACGATTTTTGGTCAGATTTCCCCCAACAGCCCTTCCAGGTCATAGAACATTGAACAAGAACATTTTACCGACATCATTTTCGTTTTTCTACAGATATTTGTTGAATTGATGTAATTTAACACTACTGCATCTTACTGTATTTGTTCATACAGTAGAATTGATAATGTTGACTTTGGTTTGATCCAGTATTTGGACATTTGAACCAATGATTAGTTTTCTATATTTCAACACTTATCCTTACATGTGAGCCGCTCTATCGAAATCAGTCGGAAGTCGCAACGGCTCATTTCAAAATAAACGTGGATTTGCGTAAAAAGAAATCCACGTTCGGGTGTTTTGTTTGATTTTAAATAAACAAAGTCTTGGCTTTCAGAATATGAAACTTTTATTTCCAAAATCACACAATACATACATTATTGAAGCTTGTAAAGGGAAGATGACAGGCACCTCTCACTCCCCCCCCCCCTCTCGCTGAAATTATGAATGACAGTCGGTGTTTTCCCCGGGAAACAAACACAATACAAACAAATGCAAAAATACACAAACACACACATACAGTACGTACACACACACACTCGCGAGCTTCCCCCAGACCAGTAAGCCTAACGAAAATAGTTTCCCTCCGTACTATTTTGATCATTTGCTCCGCTAGTAATCGATCGATGGATTCCAGAGAAGAGGAAACTTTGAAGGCCTTTTTCTCAAAATGATGACTCGGTGACAGTCATTATATAATGTGACATATTTTGCTTAATATTTGGAGTACAACAACAATCCTGTTATCATTAGAAAGCTAGGAATCTCCTCTTTCCAACAGTGTATACAAATCAAAATGTATCTTCGGGATAATGCGACTGATTCGATAGAGCAGGTCACATTTAAGCCAACTAATTCAACCATTTATTGATTCCCTTTAAGCTTTAGAATATAATGCATTTCTGCAGATTTTACTACCTTAACTTTACTGAAATATGGTTTTGAATGCAGGACTTTCACTTGTAGTTTAGTAGTTTTACTGTGTGGTATTAGAACTTGTACTTTTCCACCTCTGCTTTAGCTAACTGGTTAGACTTATTTCTTTCCTTGCCAACCCATTTTTAAATCAAGTTTTTAAATCTGGGGTATGTAATTTTGGAGAAACCAGCTCGAGTGAGCTAGAATTTGAAAATACACAGCCGGAAAAAATCTGCCACTTCCTTACAGAGCCCCTCCTCCAACACACACAAACGCACACATGACCAATGAGGGCACAAGATAAGTTTGTGCACAGATGGAAGGCTGACAGGCAAGCTCGACCAATCATTTTAGCCGGGCCGGCTAAAATGATTGGTCGAGCTTTTTACAGTACTACGGCTTCCACAGATGACATTTTTGTATGGGTTTTTTGTCAAAGCACTTCAGATATTCATTGCTATCGGGATGTTAAGAGCATTCCATGGAATATAACAAAAAGTGTATCTCGAGCCGGTTTCTCAAACTTACCTACCCCACCTTTAAGTGTTCTTGTGTTACAGCTGTATCAATAATGATTTTTCAGTGTTTGTTGAGCTTCTCCTCAATCTTTTTCACACTGCGCCCACCACCTATGCTCACCTCCTTTTCATTCTCTTTGTCTCATTTCCAGGTGTTGAGGAACCATTTGCTTCTCTTCCGTCTGCCGCAACTGAACTCAGAGTTTGGCTTCGATATGTTTGAGCAGTTGCCTCCCATTAGAGCAAAACGTCTGGAGAGCATCCTCAGACTGCAGATCGGCAGCGATGACAAAGGTGACAGAAGGCAGTAGGCAGTGAAAAAATAAAATGGTAGTGAGCCAAAAACAGATCCAGAGAAGGGACAGTATGGGACTGTCAGGAAACCAAAGGAGAGACTAAGAGAAACACGAGTAAGAGAAAGTGAGACATTCAAGAGACAAAATGTCGACCATAACATTTTCTGTGGCCTCTCTTCTCAGAGAAAACCTAATCTGAGGTGGATTTGGCCTGCTCGCAATGTTTAGCACTTCTTTGAACCTGCTACACACATAAAAAGGTTAGATTTCACAATCTAAGACTATATTTTTACAGACCATCTGTTGACATTGTCTGTTAAAGTGTGTCATGTTATCTGAGGTTACATGAACCCATCTGAGCTAAACAAGCCCAGTCAAACTAAAGGTTGAATATCAATGTTAAAAATGAAGTGCAGATTCAGCGAGGCTCAGGTTGTCATCTTTTCCTCTAATACCTTTCCTCTTAGCAGACTGGAGGGATTACATGTTGAGATATTAGCACTTCCCAGTCAGCGTGTGTCTAATGATCTTAAAAACAGACCAGAGTAATTATTGGCACCTCAGAGTAAAGATAAATGTTCTTCTTTACAAGTGCCTGAAATGCTCTAATAAAACATTATTTCCAGTTTGTGTAATGCCTTTTTATTCTTTAATCAAAATCCCAGCAAATACAGCATATAGTAATAGAATTAAACTGAGTCTGAAGGGCTTTTCTTTATTGACAGTCGCTCCACGAATGCAAATGCATTGATTAAAAGGGGGCAGCGCACATTTTGTTTTCATTGGTATAACCAAGTTAAAATGGGGTTAAAGACCCTCCAACATCTAGAGGGGGTCTCTCGGGATCGCTGGGGCGGATTTTTCTCCGTGTCACTGATCAATCACACTCACATCACAGGTACTTCACATTTGATTTCCCTTGAAGCAGCTCCCATAAGGGGCGGGTGTGTTTCCAGTGTGTGTGCTTATACTTCCTCTGTTAGATAACACGTTCTTCTGCACGTTACTTCAACCTCTCCTCAGAGACTGACAGAGACAACTCTTTTCTTTACTGCTGTCTGTAATATTCCACCTGGAATTGGTTATTTCAGATATAACCTGAGGAGGTGAATATATTTGTGTATCAACCTACTTATGCATTTTATAAATATTCTGAAAAATAAACTGAATTTATTTACCAGGCAACCTTGTTGTCATTTAGGGTTTGGAGATTTGAATGGTTTAGATTCAAGACTCAATGGTTTTATTGTCATATGCACAAAGCTACAGTGTAGAAATTACAATAAAATTCTTCTGGCCTGAGCTCCAGTAATCCAACATATATAATACAAAAATACAAAATAAAAAGTAGTGCAAAAAGTCTATATACATGTAAATAGAATATGATATGTACAAGAACAGAATATGAAATAAAATAATGTCAATTAAGACTAAATTAAATACAGTTTATTGCGTGGATGACTATTTATATAAATAGGTATATTGCAAGATGATAAACAGGAATGTTTATCGGGGCACTTGACAGAGCTCAGGTGCTTCTGGCCTGTGGGATGAAACTGTCTCTGAGTCTGGTGGTTTTAGTCCGGATGCTGCGGTACCGCCTGTCAGACAGCAGCAGACAGCACAGTTTGTGGCTGGGGTGACGGGGGTCTTTTATAATCCAGAGGGATTTCTTCCTGAGCCGCTGGGAGTAAAGGTCCTCCATGGATGGCAGCTCCGTCCTGGTGATGTGCTGTGCAGTTTTCACCACCCTCTGTAGAGCCTTACGATTGAGGGCGGTGCAGCTGCCGTACCAGGCCGTGATGCAGCCGGTCAGGAAACTCTCTATGGTGCACCTGTAGAAGTTTCAGAGTATCCTGGAGTCCACGTTGAACCTCCTCAGCCTGCGGAGGAAGAAGAGCCGCTGTCGAGCTCTTTTGGAGATGGTGTTAGTGTGATGAGTCCATGTCAGGTCCTCAGTGATGAGTCAGGTCCTCAGTGATGTGGACACCGAGGAACCTGAAGCTGCTCACTCTCTCCACAGTAGTCCCATTGATGGCGATGGGGGGCGTGTCCCTCTCTCTGCTGCTTCCTGTAATCCACAATCAGCTCCTTGGTTTTGCTGACGTTGAGATGGAGGTTGTTATCCTGGCGCCAAGATGTCAGGTTTCGACCTCCTCTCTGTACGCTGTTTATAATGATACAAATTGGCCCTTATCAGACATACAGTATAGACTATACATCGTTGACACTATCGGCCAATTAATACACTGATATTATCTGAAAAGAGGGAAAATCCAGTTCACATCTGTTTCAATGAGGTTATTTCAATGGATTTGTTCACATGTACATCATTACAAATCTGTTTTTATTTGTATTGTGGTTAGAGAACATTCCCACCACTGCTGATTAACAAAAGTGAAACCCTTCATGGTTTGCACAGAACCGAAGCTGATTGCAGCTTGGCAGCAGGTCCACATTCTTTGGGAGTGTTTTCACCCATTTAAAGTTATGTCACTGATTCTAGTATAATAACAACAATAAGAGTAAGTAATCCTCACAAAATAATTGTACGTACAAAAACCTTGACTTGTTAAAATGTAGCTCTTTAAATGCTTTATAGCAGAACTCCTCAGCGTGGTTTTAACGCAGCTGTAAAAATCTCCACATCTCTCTCCTTAAACCTGCTCCGTTTTAGGAACAGTTTTTTGGACTGAGATCAGTCTATTCAAGTTATTGAAGGCTCACTGAAATGTCACAATAGATTACATTTGTACAGTTATTTACCTTGTTTTGATATGTGGAGCTGATTCAGGTGCAGTCCAGCTCATAATGAGCAGGAGGTTTTATGATCCAGGGAGGAAAAACATCCTTCTGGCACTGAAGTTTAATATAAAAGCAATGCGAAGACAACATTCAGGTTGTGGTCTCAAATACATTTTAATTGTCTTTAATTTCATTACGGTTGTCGAGGTTCATTTCTGCCTCTTGGTAAACTGATTTGTTTTCATATTTTCCTTTTCACTATCATCCAAACTTTCACATTAACAGGTCAAAGGCTTGGCTTGGCACCACCACCTTGATGTCATGTTGTTTATTCATTCCTTTGTTTGGAGCTCTCAGATAAACACACACTGTCCTGTTGTGTTTGTATTTTGAACACATAAAAAAAGTCTATTGATTTATCGGCTAGATTCTTGTTCCCTGAAATTCCTTGGCATGTCATTAGCCGTTGAAACAAGGGCTTCTCCTGCGGGTTTCCAGTACTCGTTCACTCCACATCTGGTCTGCGTTTGGTCTCATTCATGGGGATACCATTACAAAAGTGAGGAATCTGCAGACAGCCGCACATCATTTAATAGTAAAATTACCTAATGTGATTTAAAAGTTTTAAAGAAAACCTCAAGGCTAGCTTCTCTCAATAATACAATCTCAAATCTACTGCATTCAATACTAAAGCTGCTTTTTTTCCTCGTTGGTTAAAATATTTAATTTATAGTTCTAATATTTAATGATAAGCATAGTTTTTCTAAAATGATTACATAGATTTCTCTACGAACCTCTTCATTTGGATACCAGTTGTACAAACATTCCATTTGATAAAGGAAGAGACAGTAATCTGTGTTTTTAAGCCTCCTCTGATCTCTATCTCCTAGAAAAAGCATACAAACTTTTCAGTGAACTTTAAAATGACTTCTTTATGTTTCGACTTGCAGTTGCTGCCAGCACAGTGCATTATCATTTCTGTTTTGATTGCATTGGATGATTCATGAATTTGATTGTAAATGGTTAAAGTTAGTTGGTGCACATTAAAGAAGGAGACATTAAAAATGTTATTGGTATTTTAAATGAAGAAAAGTTTGACATTTTGGGAAAATAATGTTCGTCCTGCCCACCCACCATTTCTCCTTTTTTTTTCTCCTTGCATTTCTAAATCATTCTCCTGTCGTTCCCACTTCCATGTTACCCTCCGGGATCTTTCCTTCTGCAGAAGTTTCCCACGAAAGCCGTGCCTCCAGCGGCGAGCACTGGTCCCACTTTCTCAGATCTGAGGATTCTCCATGATGTCTCAACCTCCTGCATGCAAATACATCTTTTTAGGATATGTACGATAGAAGGTGGAATACTGGAGAACAATATTTCGACACCCCACTGCTGGTGCTTAACTCAGCCACTTAAAAAGAAAACAAATCTGGAGCCAATTAAGTGAATAAACCTCTGAGATTAAACTTTTAAATAATTATGTTGAATAGTTGGCAAATACCTAAGTGGATACTTTGTTTTTATTTCTGCTCATTTGCCACAGCAGGAAGGTATATCAACACCCTGGGTAATTACTCCTCTAATAACATCTTGCATTCAAATTCTTCTCAAATAAATCAGAGCTGGATGGAAAAGGAACATCTAAATAAAGCTTAGCGTTAGTTCTTTCAGGAAGACTGGTATACATTCAGTCCGCAGCTGCTTATAATCAGCTCATCACGGGCGTTCTCTTTAACCTATTACACATACGTATTCATTCCTCCAGCCAGCCAAACTTTAAAATGGTTCTCCTTCTCCTGCAGTCAGCTGAGTGATTGTAACAGGTTGTCATGCTGCCGCCGCTCTCCCCCATCCACCTCCTTTCATCATACCCAGTGCCAGGAGAGTTAACCCAAAGACCTCATCACACCTCCTCTTCATCCTATCTCCTCATCAAATCCAGATCTTCAGCATCATCACCAGTGTCTAGACCCCGGGGGGTTCCCTATATGCTCACGGCTGCATTTCCCCCTTTAGATATATACGATTTCAGGATCGGGGGCTAATCGCCAAAGACTTAACATTTATCATGTGACATGTGTCAATAAATGTTCTTGTACAAAATGAAGTCTCTCCTGATTGAAATGTAAAAAGTTTACAATTGAGTAAAACATGTAATAGTGTGAAGGCATGATTATACTGATCTACAAGTTTCTGTTTGACTCGTTCTGTACGATATCTATGTTACAGTGAAACAGCTTACTTGACTTCAGTTTGATTATATTTTATGTCATTTTAAGTACTGGTGGAAAATACATTTAGTCAAAAGCTGTATCATTTTATAGGTACTTGTACTTCCACTTCCACCGGCCACTTTTTGCTTTTACGCTAAAACTCAGATGCAATAAAGGCACAAATTCATTTGCAGATTCAAATGAATTTTAAAATACATGATGCATTATTGATTATAGTTTCTTTATAAAGTAATTAACTCCATCTTTACCATCTGCAAACATCAAAGTGATCCACACAATAAAGCACCAATGATCATAATAACAGATAATGTGCCTACTTCTGAAGAAATCAAAAAACATCTATTTTCAAAACAAGAAGTATAAAACTGACGATTGTCATTTATTGCCTCAATCCGCTGCTGTCCTTTCATCAACTCCTTTCATCTGTAAAATATGAGAGCAGTTGAACCATCAAAAATGTATTACAGCATTGCGGCTCCGGGAGTGTGACCACGAACATGCTGTTTCAAAGACAACTGTGGTTTGAAGTGATTTCAGAGCTAAGAGCATCAGATGTTCATTTCTGCAGGAAGTGGCTAACGAGATTTCTGTGAGAATAAAAGCACACACTTGAGCTGAAGAGCCCCGATTAAGAGTTAATAGACTAAGACAG